AGTCACATAACCTCAATGAGTTGTCACTAATGAAATAAAATACTGAAAATAATCACTCGAAGGTTCCTAAGCAATACTTCAACAACATCACCTATGAAATCCAAAAAATTTCAATTGTAAATGGCGATATATTTTCTCTTACTTGGACCCACGCGCCCGAAGATAAAATTTTCCATTAAGGAAAATAAAGCAGAATCTAATACATAGGAGCTCGATCTATTATCAAGACTTGAGGGTCCGCTTCCCATGGTAGTACCAATGCATCGTGTGGTGAAATCTATAGCAGGATCACCCTTTGTTCACCATTCCTCTGTATACTGTTGATTTACCCTAGACAGAGAACCCAAATCGTTGACACGATATTCTCAAAAAATAAAATAAATAAATAAATAGATAAAACGAAGGTAGGGAGATCTAGAGGGGAATCAAGAAACACGCAAAACAAGATTTTCAGTAAAGTATTCCTTACGCGTAATCCCTATGGGATTAATCGAAGCGTGGTTCTGGGAACTGAGTTTCCTCCATGATTTTAGACCAACAACTACACGTTCAATTAAGAATATCGCAAAGAAAGACGAAGATGCAAGAAAGACAGTGATCCATCGTCTTGTGGTAGCAGATGCCAGAGGCGGTGGAAAGCGCGTCTGTTAGAGGTTTTATGATCCGTCAATCAGCAATGGAATTTTCCGTATTTGAGCCCTAGCATATAGTGATCTGATTTCTCTCCCTCATACTTGATGCACTAGTTTGGACATTCTTGACAGAAGGAATCATGGGACGTGGGAGGTGGGTGGATGAAATGCTTCAAAATTTAATGCCTGATTGGGTTTTGGCCTCAGAATGGTTGGTGCATGAAGATGGGAAACCTTAGACAAGCTTTGGCTTGAAAGAATTTAATTGGGTGTACGGCTGATCGTTGTTGGATCACGAACTCGACTTAGACTGAGAAGGAACGCTGTTGTGATGTTCGCTACCACTGGATTCACCACTTCAGGAAGAGAACAAACTGTTGGGAGAAGGGACTCTCTCTGTTCGCAATGAATGAAACCTCTACAATTTTCTACTGTTTCTAGAGCCAAAACTAGAGACCGGAGAACTAAACCAGAGATTCTAATGTAATCATCGTAGACTTCTGACAATCGGTCAGTTTTTGAAAGTCTGGAGAAGGGGACGGGGATGGGAGAGGATATGGGGAAGAGAGGAGAGAAGGGAGAGTCCCTTTCTCAGAAACCCTAGGTCAAGATTATGATTCTGTTGTCTCTCCCTTGGAGAAGAATTGCTCTCCCCCTTTTATAGAGAGGGTTAAGGTCATAAGGGAAGGAGTTTTTTCCTGGAAGGAGTTTTTTTCCTTTTAGGAAAGAGGATCTCTCTTGTTAGGAAAGGAGGTATTATTAAGGGATCATTATTAGATAATTCTATCCCTTTCGGATTCTCTCTGTACGTGACCCTATTGCACTGATGTGGCACATGTGACATCATCGTTTGGCGGGCGTACTTTCATTAAACTCGCATGCGTAACTTAAAGACGTACATGTAACCGATATCTATTCCCGTTCTACTGTGATTCCACTGATGTGGCACATGTGACATCATCGTTTTGCGCTTGTTCGGGTTCATCAGAAATCTGTGTGTCCAGGGTTCATCACAAACCCACATGTGTCTTACCTTTATCGCAGATTCGTGCTACCCAAAGTTCATCGCGACCTGTCTTGGGTGTGAGTTCATCACAATCGTGGATCTGTGATGAACTCATCACAATCGTGCGATGGGTTTTGGATTCATCGCAGGCATCCATGTAGTGTTGGTTTGACACCTTTTGTACTCTGAGGGTCTTACTGACCACTATATACTTACACTTAGTCCCACCATCTCTAATTTCTCTAGCAAGATAGCAATAGATGAAGTCTGTGCGTGGTTCTGGAGTGGAGTTTGTATTAAAACTCCATCAGAACTGTGAGCGGTTATAGATGAACAGATGTTGGAGGAGACAGATGTTAGGGGTAAAGCTTACCACCTTTCTTCACCGTTCCTTTAGGGGCTGCATGTGAACAACCAAGTCTCCTCTCCTTTGTCATTTCTTCAACCGAGTTTGAAGAGAAAGGGATGGAATGGGCATGCTTGGAATGAAGAGAAAGGGATGGAACAATCGGAGTTGAGTGAAGCATGCTTGGAATGAAGAGCGGGAGTTAACATCGGGTACAATGGTCAGAGTTGAGTGAAGTCTCCTCTCCTCTCTCGTTCATTCAACCCAGATTGAAGAGAAAGAGGATTAGGGAAATAAGAAGGGAAAGGGGTAAAATGGTCTGAATTTTTTCATAAAGATTAGTTTTGGTATTACGAAAATATTTTAAAGTTTGGGTACTAAATTGGCACTCGGCCTAAAGTACAGGGTACCTATTGGGAATTTTCCCTAAAATTTAATTGACTGAAAAATACCTTTAATCCTTGAGAAATACACGAACAAGCATTCGATCAAGAAATATAAAAAGACCAATTAAAGAAAAAACTAACAAACAAAGGCGTTAAACATAGTAAATGGGTCTTTTGATCAGTGTGAGCAGTGGTATTAGTGTTACCGATGCCTAATTGGCATGGGCCACCAAGCACCAAGTTCACCATAGCACCATTTGACTTCAGAGTTCAAACTTGGATGAGCATGGGAATCGATCCCATAACCATTGCCTTCAGAGGTCGACATCACTAATGGAAGATAACCAAGTTGGATTTATAATTACATCTTCTTTTAACTAGAAACTGGAAGCAAGTTTAACCAGAAACTAAAAGAAAAACAGGACAACATTCATTCTTCATGCCACAAAGATCAATCAAACTTAGAACACTAAAACAAACGAGAATAAATGAATAACAAATAACAGAGACTATCTACATTTTTTTGTTATGCCAAGAAACCCTTTTTCCTCCTCTACAAACCCCATTCCTCAGTCCCACTTCCAAATGTCCCTACTGGCACAGGTAAACCCAGCTATTAACATTACCGACAGTGGTATTGGATCTGAAGAAATAAATGAACCAAAGAGAGAGAAAGAGGGCAGAGAGGATGAGCAAAGTAGGGGTGCAAGTTGGGCGGGTTAGGATGGGTTTATGGTCAACCCAGGCCCAACCCTAAAATTTGGGCTTAAGGCCCGAGCTCGAGCTCAAGCCCGATTTCCCAACCTGAGCCCAACCCGCCCTGTAATTTGATGCACTCGGGTTGGTCAATGAACCCACTCTAAAATTATACATATATAAATGTATTTATGCAAATATATACATATATTTATGTATGTATGTAAATATGTATGCAAAATATATATACAAATGTTATATATACAAATATGTATGTATATATATATGTAAATATGTATGCAACCTTTACATATACATACATATAGGTATAAATGTATATAAGAAGGCTGGGCTCGGGCTACCTAAGGGCTACGCCCTGGTGTGTCCTGAAGCGTGTCGTTAACCACGTCGGAACACCAGTTTAGAGATTTATAAATTTTTTCAATCCTCACGTAACCTTAAACAATGTAGTATGTGGTGAGGAAGGGGTCGAACCCATAGGAAGCGAGGGAAAATTTATTATTTTCTTGTTCCCAACAAATAAAAAGAATAAAATGGAACTGGGGATTGCAGAAAATGAGAAAATAAAATTTATTAATGCTGAAATTAAAGGTTTAGAATTAAACAAGACAATAATCAAAATTCTGAAATAAAAGAATACTGAAATCAACAAAAGAAATAAATAAAAGTGATCCCAAAATTCGGATCCAGTGGCAGTAGCTATAGATTGGCTGGATAGCTTGCAGGAACCCCTCCTGACAAGACCTGGGTGTCCTTTTGTTCTTCATCCCTCGAACCCCTCGAGACACCTTAGCCTTGAACTAAACAAATTCGGATCTACAAAGCACACAAACGAATAGAAATTAAATCTAAAAGATTGCTAAAATAAAAATAACCTGAAAGAAAATGAAGAAAATAAAAGGATGGATGATCATATCCAGTGGCGGTAGCTATAGATTGGTTGGACTGCTTGCAGGAACCCCTCCTGACAAGAACTAGGCGTCCTTCCCTTCTACAACCCTTGAACTCCTCAAGAAACCTTAGCCTTGTGAACTGGGTGAATTGATCAACCCTTTCTCCAGGACCCTTGGGGTTCTTTTTATAGAGAAGGGTGGACATAACTAGGATTAGAGAGAAAGAGGGGGGCGGCAATTGGGTTTTTTGCAGACATATGGGCGCCCTAGGTTTTAGAATGGAGAGCACGGATTGTTCTAAGGTGATCCTACGGCTGAAAAGAAAAGGAGAGGGGCCCAATATTATGTAGGGCTGAGATTTGGGTGCCCAGAATTGGATGGTGGAGATTTAGGTGCCTAGGGATGAAAGGTGGAGATTAAAAGGAGTGAGTGGCACCCTAGGGTGAATGGCTGAGATAGAGAGTGAAATAGAGGGCTGAGATCTAGTGGCTAAAGGCTGAATGGTGAGGATTAGAAGTTAGGTGGTGCCCTAGGGTTAGAATGCATTAAAAGAAGATGCCCTAGAATGGAGGGTGGAGATTAGATGTTAGGAAGGGATGGAAGGTGAGGGTTTAGTAGTTAGGGGCGGCTAGGGTTTGTTAGAGATGAAAGAATGAGTGGAGAGGCGCCTTAGGGTTTGCTAGGGAGAGGGGAGTATGCTAATACGGTAGGAGGGACGCCATTCTGTGTTTAGCAAATAAGAGGTGTCCTCCTGTGCTCACTTTTTCAGAAAAACACCCCCTTTCTCAGCTGGAATTCACACCAGCTTCCCAAAAGCTGCATTTCAGCCTTGAAACTTCCCCAGTTTTTCCAGGATTTGCACAAAGACCTTCAGAGGTCACAATATTGAATTTAATTGGGAAAATGGGACATTTTGACTATTCTAAGGCCAAAAATACCCTTGAAAAGAAAAATTGTAATCCTAAAAGCAAATGAAAACTATGTTGGGTTGCCTCCCAACCAGTGCTAAGTTTAACGTCTTCAGCCAGACGCAACTGGATCACTTAGACTAAAATTCTCAACTCCTCTACTCTCAGATACTTCTTCTGTGTATGGTTTAAGCCTTTGAGCATTGACCTTGAACATGGTTCCACTCTTGGGATCAACTATTCTAACCGCACCAACCTCGAACACTTTATCAACAACAAACGACCCATCCCATCTGAACTTTAATTTACCCGAAAACAACCACATCCTAGAATTAAAGAGCCAAACTTTTTGAACAGGTTCAAATGTTTTTCTTGAAATGTTTTTATCATGGAACACTTTCATTTTGGCTTTATAAATGCGAGAACTTTCGTAAGCTTCATTGCGAAGTTCTTCCATCTCACTTATGGCAGAGCCTGGTGGGATCCAGCTTGGGTTAGATCGAAATTAAACTTTTTGATGGCCCAATAAGCCTAATGCTCTAATTCTACAGGAAGATGACAAGCTTTGCCGAAGACTAGCCTATAAGGAGACATTCCAATGAGAGTTTTATACGTCGTCCAATAAGCCCAAAGTGCATTATCCAATCTGTCGGGCTAATCTTTTCGATCAGGCCTAACGGATTTTTAAAGAATACTCTTAATTTCCCAATTGGAAACTTCCACTTGACCATTCATTTAGGGATGGTAGGGCATTGCTATTTTATGAGTGATTCCGTATTTGCGGAGCAAAGCACGGAATTGCGCATTAGTGAAATGTGACCCCCCATCACGAATGATTGCTCGTGGACAACCAGACCTAGAGAAAATGTTCTTTTGAACAAATTTCATTACAACTTTGTTGTCATTGGTCTGGGTTGTTACCACCTCAATCCATTTCGGCACAAAATTAACAGCCACCAGGATGTATTCGTAACCGGATGATGGTGATGGTCCCATGAAATCAATACCCCAAACATCGAAGATTTCTACAGTTAGAATGAGATTAAGTGGCATCATGTCTCTAGGGACATATTCCCGACAGCTTGGCTTTTTAAGCAATTTTTACTGAAAGCTTGGGCATCCTTAAATAAACTTGGCCAATAAAAGCCACTTTGCAGTACTTTGGCCACCGTTTTCTTCCCCAAAAAGTACCCCCACAAGCAAGAGTGTGACAAAAATTAAAGATACTTTGGTGTTCAGACTCAGGGATGCATCTTTGGATTACTTGATCCGAACAGATACGGAATAGCTTAGGGTCTTCCCATAAATAATATTTAAGCTATGAGAAGAATTTGTCATTCTCATTCTCGGACCACCCCTTAAGAATTTTACCCACCGCTAAATAGTTGACAATATAAGCAAACCACGGGGGTGTACTATGGGAAACCGCTAAGAGGTGTTCATCTGGAAAAGAGTAGTCATGCGCAGGTTCACTCTTTTCAATTTGAATTATGGGTAGATGATCAGCTACTACATTTTCAGAGCTCTTTTTATCCCGAATCTCAAGGTCAAATTCTTGCAAAAGAATGATCATCTGATAAGCTTAGGTTGGGCCTTTTTCTTAGACAACAAATGTCTTAAGGTCAAGTGATCAGAGTAGACAACCACTTTGTTACCCAATAGGTATGGGTGAAACTTTTCCAGAGCAAATACTACAGCTAATAGTTCTTTCTCGGTAGTGGTGTAATTCAAGTAAGCCTCAGATAGGGTGCGGCTAGCATAATATACTACCACATGACATTTATTCACCCTTTGTCCCAAAACTGCTCTGATAGCATAGTCAGAGGCATCACACATTATTTCAAAGGGCAACGACCAGTTGGGAGGTCGAAGGATTGGGGCTTTGGTTTGTGTCTCTTTTAGATAATCGAAAGCCTTAAGACAAGCCTCATCGAAATTAAATGGGACATCCTTCGCATAAGATTGCACAAAGGCCAAGAGATCTTGGAAATGTCCTTAATGAACCTATGATAGAAACCAGTGTGTCCGAGAAATGAGCGGATTTGCTTGACAAAGGTGGGAGGTGGGAGTTTAGAGATTATGTCAACTTTTGCCTTATCTACCTTGATCCCTCGTTTGGAAACTATGTGGCCTAAGACAGTACCCTCTTGGACCATGAAGTGACTCTTCTCCCAACTGAGTACCAAGTTTGTCTCGGCGCATTGTTGAAGAACTCTTCGTAAGTGTTCGAGACAAGTTTCAAAGGAATCCCTGAAGACACAGAAATCATCCATAAATATTTCCAGAAAATCACCTACCATTTCTGAGAAAATTGCCATCACACACCTCTGAAAGTTTGTTGGTGCATTACATAATCCAAATAGCATTTTTCGGAAAGCAAATGTGCCATATGGACAGGTGAAAGTAGTTTTCTCTTGGTCTTCAGGGTAAATGGCTACTTGGTTATACCTAGAATACCCATCTAAGAAGTAGAAATATTTCTGCCCTGCAAGTTTTTTCCAAAATTTGGTCAATAAAGGGCAGAGGGAAGTGGTCCTTTTTTGTGGCGGCATTGAGTTTCCTGAAGTCGATGCATACTCGCCATCCAGTGGTAAGCCGGGTGGGGATCACTTCACCTTGATCACTAGTGACCACGGTGAGTCCACCCTTCTTAGGCACCACTTGCGTAGGACTTACCCAACTGCTATCTGAAACTGGGTAGATAATACCCACATACAACCACTTGATTACTTCTTGCTTGACCACTTCTCTCATATTTGGGTTCAATTGCCTTTGCATTTCCCTACTCGGTTTGGCACCCTCCTTTGTATAAATATGGTGCATACAAATGGATGGACTAATCCCTTTCAGGTCAACCACCAACCAACCAATGGCACCCCTATAATCTTTTAAGACATCAATCAGTTTCTCTTCTTGTATAGGGGTTAAATCGGCTGCTATAATTACTGGTAGTGTTTGGTCATGTCCTAGAAACACATACTTAAGGGAGTCCAGCAAGGATTTTAATTCAAGTTGCGGAGGAGATTCAAGAGAAGGCACGGGTGGTTCACTCTTTAGCTCAGGGAGAGGTTCAACAGTGGGCCAAGACCATCATGGGTGTGGAGACTTTGTTACAACATTAGCTTCCTTCGTCAGGTCATCCGCTATGACCGGACCGGTTTCTCCGGGGTTTCTATTTACATTCATTGTATAACAATTTTGTTCTGGGTAGGCAGAAGGACTTTGGGACTCACACAGGTCTTAGAACTTTCCCTACCTTTGAAAAGCTGAGATTTCTTCAACATTTTCTTAAGTATGGGACATTAGAGGTTGTAAGATCTTGGTATTGAGGAAGACCCAGGGATTCATTTCTGGGGTCTACAACTGGTTGACTAAGCATTGCATCATTCTCCCACTGCAGGTTAGTTTCCATGAGCTGAATTACTTGGCTCTCTAATCTTAGGATTGACTATTGCTGAGCTAAGATCAATTGTTGGAGCTGTAGAAACCTATCATCGAGTGAATCAGTTTGATAAAACTGAGGGGAGCTTTGACATGGCTGAGCCGGTTGAGTCCCAAGGTAATTATTGTACTCATAGTGAATCTGGGCTTCAGACCATTAAGAGTGCACATCTAGCAAGGTGGTTTCTTGGGCTTGGGCCTAGTAAGCGAAATTGGGCTGATTTTCCCACCTAGGGTTATATGGACTAAAGAATGGGTTAACATTGGGTTGGAAAAATCCGTTAGCTGCATGTACTTGCTCTAGAACGACTGGTTGACATGGGCCCGCTGCAGGACACTGGCTAACATGATGGGCCAGGCTTGCACAAATGAAACATATTGGGCAGGATGACAAGGTTGGGTATGGGCCAATTTGTTGACGAAATGCAAGGACTTGATCAAGTCTTTGGGCCATCCCATTAATCTTATCCAGTTGTTGAGACACATGGTTCCAATCTATATGTGGCTTAGGTTGGAAGTAGTTTCTCATTCCACAAACTCCAGCCATTGAATTCATTTTATTTTGTTTTTAAATTTTTTTGAAATTTGAATTTTAATTTCAAATTTAGATTTTGAAATTTAAATTTTGAGATTTAAACTCAAATTTGAATTTTAAAATTTTTGATTTTCTCTTTTTTTTTAATTTGAAAATTAAATTTTTGAAATTTAAATTCAAATTCAGATTTTGAAATTTAAATTCAAATTTGAATTTTTTTAAATTTTAACAAAAAAAAATGCAAGAAAATCAAACACACGACTTACAGGCTAAACTAAGGCTTCCTAAACAAGTGGTCCAACCAATGTGAATCCTCTTAGGTTCACTTGGAATTACACCATTTTTTTGGTTAGCCAGGTAAGAAGTGGGGATGTGAGAGGCTCCCCTTGCTCTCGCAAGCACCTAATTAAGTAACCACAAAACCCGCTTAGGCTTAGTCGTTTAACTTCTTTCCTTAGACACCAACCACCGATTATGGAAAGTAATTATAAGTTTCCCTAAATTTTAGCACACTATTGAACTACATGTGAGGCTCCCTAAAGGATCTTGCTATCCAAATTTTAAATAAGGGTTTGGGGTGAACCGTACATGAAAGGATGGTGGTTTTTGGGCTAAGGAAGGGTGATGAAATCCCCACCTTATCTTATTTAAGTTGGATTGCCCTTAAATGGATTAACAAAAAAACATAATAAATATAATAAATGCAACTAATTACAATGCATGAACAATTATTTCTAATATATAATTAAGCAATTTAACATAAAATAATAAAACAAAACTAATTCGGCAAAAGGAACAATTAAAATAATAATAATAAAAAAAAAACTAACACATTCACAACTAACAAGATAATTTCAACAATTAAATAATCCTATATGATGCATGCTCTAGAATATCAAACCCTAAATGTTGGAATGCAATTGCAGAAATTTTTTAAATACTAATTAAAATTTTTATTATTATTTTGTTATTTTATTATTATTTTTTTTTTGAAATTCAAAATTTGAAATTTAAATTCAAATTCAAGTTTAAATTTTGAATTCAAATTCAAATTCAAATTTAAAATTTAAACTCAAATTTGAAATTTTCAATAATTCCTTTTAACAATTAATTATTCAATTAAATAACTAATTAATTAAAGGGCAATTAAATAAAACAACAAATAATTACAGCAAACTGAAAATAAAAGGATTAATTATGCTAAAAAAATTAACAACCACAAAAATAAATTCTAACAAAAAAATCGCTACTCAAAGGATTAAATAGAAAATAAAAAAATAAGAATATGTGGCAATAAAATAAAATAAAATAAAATAAACGAAGTGAGTTTATAATCTGAAAATAAAAGAAAAATAGAACCTAATAATCCTAAACAGAAATTCGCTCAATAAATTAAAAGAAAAAATAGATCTCAAAACATAACGAAAAAGAAATAGTACTAAAAAAATAAATCGGATCTAGAAAAAAAATAATTAACTAAG